GGGGGAACCGCGGGGATTTAAATTCAACATATCTAAAAGTTGCTGAGGTTGAGGAACACTGGTCTAAACGATTTCTATAGAAGAAATTGCAACATTTACAAAGCTATGAAGGGGAGAACAATAGCATCGTACAAGTATCATCAAACTTCCTACTTCCACCAGTACTATAGATAATAATTAGCTTTTGTGAATTTACTTACATTGCCTGTAATAATTATATGGGCTTATGCTGTTCTTTATGTTATGACTCTGAAAATAATTGAGTGAGTTAAAAAGATTTGTTAGCAATAGAAAGAAACAAACTTTGTCACTCCTCATCTGTTTACAAGGCTGCCCAAAAACACCTTTCCAAAGGTGCTAAGGTGGGCAGAGCATGAAGAAGGGGGGAGAAGAAGTGGTCTTGAGTGAGAGACATCTGCATGGGAAGTACATAACTTTTTGTAAGCCCATTCATATCTTTCTCCACAGCTTACAATGCTCAACAGGATCTCTGACTCTCAGGAGAATATTTTCCTAGAGCTGTAAGGGTTGGTAGATATTAAAGGAATCAGCTTCCACATGATGCTTTCTTCATTCTGATCATGGTGTACAGCCACATTTGAACACATCTATTATACCCTTTGTGCCAAGCTTCAAGAAGCTATTTGAAGAACATTTCATGTACCTCTTTAAAATTAACTTATGCTTTTGTGAATATATACAAGAAAGATTTCTTACACACGTGACAATATTTCACTTGCTATGTCAACTGGGATAGTGTTTATTCTCTTTCTGTCTTTCAAAATTATAGGGTGATTTGTTTTTCCTCCACATTCACTTATGTTATGTTCTGTACCTTAAGCTTGATCTAAAAAACAGCTTATGACATGGAAAAAAAATCATTTTAAAAAAATCTTGTCTGATAATATAATAATGTATTTACTATATAAACACCCAAAGTCATTGAGAGTTGGGTGGCATACAAGTTTAATAAATTATTATTACTACCAGTTTTGCTAGCAGTTACCCTGAATTTTTTTCTGCGTTCCAGAAATAGCTTGCTGAATGTCAGACCATGATGTGAGATTATATGGAAACATTTTTATTTTGAATTTTTCATTGGTTTTTGGAAGCATTAAGTTACAGATTTGATGATTTAGAACTAATTTCATTGTTACAGTGTCATGATTCTTGGATTAGGCTGTTAGACTATCATCTTTCCATCCACTTATCTCTGTTCACCATCACTTAGAAAAATATACTTAATGAAGGTTGTAGCAAACAACCTAGGTGTGTATGTTTTGCTTGATCTATAATTTGCATTTCCTTGATCTCTAATCACCATATTATGTTAGAAATATATAGATCTTTACAATATTAGCCACAAAAAAACAATGCAGAACTTTTGAGCATGTGGTAGAAACTTTCTCAAACCTTGCTAAACCTTAGAGATTAAAGAACAAATACATTATTTTCTGTTCCATAAATTGTCAAGTTGATTCTGTAGGAAATCTAAACAGTGAAAGTAATATGATTTAGCCAGTGTGTGTGAGTATCAATTCCATTCCCACCCATGCCGCCGATCCCAATCCCTATTTGTAATATTTGTGTGTGTTGCTATTCTGGGCTAACGCACAAATAAATGTTTAGTGGTTGACGAACTCCTTCAGTACCATGACCACAGAAACTCACAATATCAAAACATGCTATGGGATCTACTATTTGAAGCTTGTACATGAAGAAAATTCTGCAAGGCAGAAATTTAATCCATCAATTATGATGAATTAAATGCGTAAGAATTATGATATTCTTACTGTTCTGATTCTTTTTTAGGTAAGATAGAGAAAAGCAATGGGCCCAGTTGTCCAGGTACATGCTAATAGTTCTTCCTTAAATTTCAGCAAAAGATAAAACATAAGGAAACAGAAAAAAAGAATTGAAAAAAGAAAAATCAGAAAAAGAACAAAATTAAAAGTACCGAAAAGAAAAAAATAGAAAAAAACAAAAAAGGTAGCTTCTGACTTTCTTTGGTACAGATACAAATATATAATACATTAGCCTCTTGCTCTAAAATTTAAACTAATACACAGTATTTCTATAATCATAAACAGTATTAATCATCAAATCTCAGAATTAAAATTTCATTTCTTTCAGTTTTGAGCAAAAAAGTCAAAAAGCAGTTTCCAAATAGAAACAATGCTAGGCAAAGTCTTTTCTTTAATCAAAATAGTGAACTCCACCAACTCCATCAACTTCACCATCCCTTCTTCAATTGTAAGTATTTGTAGGTCCTTCCATTTCTGCACATATAAGAGTCTCGCTGCTGTTATCATATAAAAGACTAAAGTCTCATATTTTCTTTCGATCTGTCTGTCATATCTAAAGGAAAACCTCTGGTTTCAACTGTACATCCATTTTTAGAATTCTCTGAATTAAAGTACATATTAAATCCCAGTATTTCTCAGCTTTCTTACAAGTCCACCAAAGATGATAAAAAGTGCCTTCACATTGATTACATTTCCAGCATATATTTGGCACTCCCTTATACATCATTGATAATTTACCCAGTGTTAAATACCAACAATACATCATCTTATAAACATTTTCTTTCAGATTGTAATTAAGTGTAAACTTCGATCCTTTACTCCACATATTCTCCCATTGGTCAAGCATTATATTATATCCAATTTTTTTTGCCCACTTAATCATGCAGTCTTTAACATATTCATCTTCCATATTCATTTTCAACAAAAGTTTATACATCTTAGCAATAACATGTTCATCATTACTACACATTGCCAATTCACAATCACAGGTACTTGATAATAGTTCTGTGCAATGGTTGGGAGTGCTGTTGGCACAAGTGTATAATAAAGTTAACTATTTCATTCCTCAGCACTGTCAGTGCTTACAGTGATGAGCATTAAGGGGACAAAGTTAATTAAAATCTATGAAAAAGGGCCAAAGAAACATTTAAAGATAGACAGTGCAAGGTAGACAGTGTTAATAACAACAATTTGTTAATGGGGTAGGCAGCTGCAGTCAGTGTTAAAAATTACTTCAGGCTTTTTATGTTAGTAAAAGCTACTAATTAAAGAGAGCAATGACCTGTGAGATTGGCCATGAAAACCATTAGCCATCTGAATATAACTTTAGCTTTCAGGGTTTCTCCCAGCTGTATCTTCCTGACACACGCTGAAAAATGTTTCACTTAGTTATTTTTTCCCCTTCAGTAACAGTTGCCTCGTCTTAATCCTTCAAGTTAAAATTAAAAGTGCATTTTTAATTCTCATTAATAAAAGATTAACACAAAAGAAACAGCGAGTACTGTATTCATTAGACTTATAATAATATTATGACAGCTGTTTGAAGTCATGGCCTGGTTCTGAGATTCTTAATTAACCCCAAGCAGTTTTTGTGTGCAGGAGATAGTTGTTTGTAGTTGTCATTGCTCAGTGCTGGAACTGTTCCAAACGGAAATTCACATCTCACTTCCCTCTGTGAAATTCTTGGTCTTCTGATGAGAGAAATGTATATATACTGTGATAGAGACAGAGATGGTAATACTGTTCTGAAATGAATTGCGAGTAAAATAACCCAAACTGATTGATTTTAGGCAGTAACTTGCT